CGGTGCTTTCCATGTCGCACGAGGTGCGGAAATGTCACGGCACCCATGCAACCGAACTTTCGCAAGACAGCGTCGATTCGGCTGCACGCGGTGAGCAACTTCCCGTACTTCCCCGGGGCTTTGTGTGTAGCACGAGGCGCGTAATTAAATGTCACGGCACCCATGCAACCGAACTTTCGCAAGACAGCGTCGATTCGGCTGCACGCGGTGAGCAACTTCCCGTGCTTCCCCGGGGCTTTGTGTGTAGCACGACGCGCGTAAATGTCACGGCACCCATGCAACCGAACTTTCGCAAGACAGCGTCGATTCGGCTGCACGCGGCGAGCAACGTCGCCTACTTCTAAGAGCAAGCTTCAGAGCCCCAGACGGCGTAAGAAGTCCTCCGTCTGCTGATCGGGGTCTTTCGCCCATCCGCGAGCGTTCTTCCCGGAAGAGGAGCAGTGCACATCGAAGTTAGGGAGGCTGGCGTAGTACTGCATGCACTGCACACAGCCAGCGCTGGCCGCATATAGAAATTTGTACTCCAGTTGACGATCTTCATCCAGATGTGCATGCCTTCGCCAGTTCCGGTAATGAGGCTGGTTTTCACAAGGTGTGTAATCCACCGATGTATCACTACTCTCACTAGACATGCTGCTTGACGACGAGGTATCCCGCGGAACTTCGCCTGTCTCTGCGGCCGTAGGGCTTGGTGACCTCGGAGCGGAGGAAGGGCCAGCACCTCCGGCCGCAGCGCTGGGTGTCCGCGAAGGGAAACTTGCCCATGCAACACCGCAGCCCGGTGTCTGTGAAGCAGAACTGGGACCACAGTCTTCGCTCGCAACGTCAGGCGGCGACGAGGGTGGCGGAGGGACATTTCTTGCCCAATGAACTCGAAATGTCTGAGAGGGAATGGCAGCGCCAGCAGCAGCACAGCCTCCGCCCGTGGTGTTGGGTTGCCGCGGAAGGGCTTTAGGCCAAACATGCCGCGGAGAGGCACTTGGCCATGCTGAAAACGGTTTTTGCCGAATCTCACACCATCGCTCAAACCTTTCCATCTCAGTGGCGAGCCACGTCTGGAACCCTGCGTCTCCGGCTTTGTTTGGACGACCGTCTCTCCGTAGCATGCGATACTTGTTCCTCACAGTGTCCACGTCCATCCATTTAGCACTGTCAGGATCGAGCCGCAATTTGTTCAAAAAAACACCGAAATCCGCCATCGAGCAACTGAGCTTTCGCAAGACAGCGTCGACTCAGCGATTCCCCGGGAAACTATGAACGTCGACGGAGCCAAAAGCTTCGTTGAACAACCACCATGTCGCATGAGGCAAGTTTCAAACTGAGAACAGGGCTCGTGCACCAAAGCATACATGGACGTCGCCGTAGAGCGCGAGCAATCACCTGATGCAAGGCGGCTGCATAGAGTCTATAGAGGCAAATGTCAGGATATGCAACAAGTCCAAGCTGAAACTCGACCGAGGAGCAATCCTGAATCCGTTAAAGTGCCCTACAAAGCAAACCAGACAAGAGGTTTCCACGTCATCAGCCCCAGTCGACCGTCCCGGCCTGTGAACGGATCACTTTGCACATTCCGGGCACCTTCGCAAGTGCCGGGAGCAGTTCGACCACAAGCGATGATTTACTGGGCCTCGCGAACCTGGTGCATCCATTCTGTTTGTTAGCTGCATAGCACTCACAAGGAGGTCTCCAGGCCAAGGTTTAAGGTGTTTAAGATGTACGCTTCATATGACCGCTCTGGTTGCGGTCACCCACAGCGAGTGATCCACGATCAGGGGCCTACGCGGAGCCTCGCAAAGCCAGCGCATGATGGTTCTCTGCTAGCTGGATACGGCTTCGTACAAGATCTCCAGGCAGCAGCTGAAGAACCTAACAATGACTGCGGCGCTTAGCAGAAGCAATCCATGAAGACTATGACCAAAGTTGAAATCGGACAGGATGCGATACCCGAAGAACAAAACCACCGTGGCAGGCGACCACTGGGTCCACCGTCGTTCCGGGTGAAGTGTCAGCAGCTTCATGGCAGTAGCTTGACGAATGCTTCCAAGCTGGGGTCAGCTCCACTGCGCTCGGACCCGAGCAGAAACTCAGAAGAGAACTCTTCTGCCGGCACGTCCCGCTCCGAGTGTCTTCGCGGCTCGACGTTTAGGAGCTCTCACGAGCTCATCCCAATCTGCTTCGGGAGTTGTCCAGCTGCAAGAACTTGCAGGACGCATCGGGAGACACGTGTTACAGCACATTGCCAATCCAACCTGGAACCAGGCTCCCCGTGCTTGGTCAAGGCTGCGTAGGTGCTCGGACGTGTTTCATCACCTTCTTCGTGGTCATCGACAGAGAGATGAGAGCGACGGCTAAGGTTCGCCCATTCCATGTGGTTTGGCCGCTCTCCAGTTCCAAAAGCCGACGAAGGAGCAGAATTCAGGAATTTTCTTAATTCTTAACTCGACCTTCCTCAAGGAGCATGATTCCCACGATCTGAAATCATTCCAACTGGCTTGTTTTTCTTTCCCCCGTCCTACTTCCAAAAGCGACAGGTCTAACGTCTCGACAAGAGAAGCGTGTTTTACAACTCACAGAGCTTTGTGCTTCGGTCGACCGCCCCGGCCTACCAAGAAAAGCGATACTCGACTTGGACCGTCCCGAAGACGTCGGTACCTGCCACAACACACACGGGTGCGCTACGATGACAGCCCAAAGCGGCCACACACATGCTTCCACATGCCGGCAAGCGAATCGACAAGGATTTTCTGATCAATAGCAAGCACAGCAAACCACAAAACCCCACACCCTGACTTAAGCATCCCTTTCTGTAATGGCCTCCCCGGCGTCTTTGCAAAGACGAACGTGCTCTGACAGTCATGCGGACCGGAGACTTAGGCCACCCCCATTCGGCCGAGATATGGGGTCACCCCGCTCTGCCATGGGGATATCAGGCGAAGGCTCTCAACGACCACTAGCAGCTGCAAGCATTTGCCCGCGCTATGCTTATGTCGCCCTCTGCTCGCAAAGAAGCAGGACGTCGTGGTCGTCGTGGTGCCATCCCAGAGTTCGCAGCGGATACTTCTGCCCCCGACATTGTGTACCTTCTGCTGGACTTGGCCAACAGCTTGGCGCAAGAGCCGAACGTCGGGTCGGCCATGGCAAGAGCGGTAGTCGAATTTAGTTCGACTGTGGCGCGGGTACGTGGCATCAAATGGTAGCTGCCAAAACTGGCGAGCGAGCGAAGAGCTGCCGTTTGTTAGAACACGATACATCAAACCCCATTCTGAACATGTTGGCACGCTGCCTTCGACAAACACAACCGAACAGCAAGCCAAGCAAGGTGCTCTGCTCAATAACACAACCACGTCCCAAGAACGGACGGCCCCCCTTCTTTGTTCGGAACCTGGAAGTCTGGCCCGGACAACAGGATCCAAGGTCGCGGAAATCCAGCCTTTGCCCCAGCACGGCGCATTAGCCCATAAGCCCGGCTGTCATCTATCCCCCTGCCCGGGGCTAGGTTGGCCTCAAAGCAAAACCGAACGCCTCACACCTGGCCAACGGTGTGGAGAGCAACCCGGAAGGGGCAGGGGTCGGCTCCCGAGGTAAGGCAAACATTCGAAGATCGACCGGCGCTCTGCCTCTGTTGATTCAAGTGCACAACAACACAGACATGTCACAAGATTCGATCAAGCTCGACTCAATATCAACCGTCTCCAAAGCCCGCGTGCTTAAAGTGTTAGAGTAAGGCTCGTGCAGCAAAGCAGCGATGGAGGTTCTCGTAGAGCGCGAGAAATCACCTGATGCAAGGGGGCTGCGTAGAGCTACACATCGTGCAGAACCTGCGCCTTTCGGAATCCTTCTTTTTGTGTCACAGCCTCTTCTCATCACACAGCCTATTCTACCGCGCCACCGAACTTTCGCAAGACAGCGTCGATTCGTTAATGTTAGGCGCAAATCTACGCTCGGCACTAAGCGCTCTGCCACTGCGCTTCAATCGAGAACAGCAGTGTGCCGTCTGCGCCCAACGACTCACGACGAAGCGGCATGTGAAGGCGAAACCATCCGGGGTTCTGGGGGGTCTTTTCCAACAGGCCCATTTCCTCAGTGGCAGCGACAAGAGAATTGTTAAGGCAAGGACACCCAGGCTTTCGAGGTTGTTATTCCACACGCAAATGTCAATGCAGCACTTTTATTGCAAGACACCATGAGCGTCGTGTACCCCATCGGCGTAAAGGTGATAGCGTGAGCTCTGACGGTGTGAGGATCACCCGAACGTCCAGTGGCAATTTCTCCATCCCACGTCGTCATGTCCGAGTCCAGGCACCGATGAATGGCCTCGACCGACCGTTATACTAGCAACAGCAGACTTTGCATGTGCTAGCACGGGCATGCCACAGCAAGCACAGCCGAGATGCCAAAACGGCGGTAGGACGAAGTCCCCAGCGGTTCTTGAAGGAACCCACGACTGCCTGTCCGGCCAACACCTGATCGGATTGAATGGGCGTCAAACCCACGTAGACTCGCACCTCCGTCACGACGGGAATGGCCATGGCTCCGGAATGCATCTGGGGTAGGACGAAGTCCCCAACGGTTCTTGAAGGAACCCACGACTGCCGGAGGCACCGAGCTTTCGCAAGACAGCGTCGACTGGCAAATATGAACAGGATGGAGCCAAAGCTTCGTCTACAAATCGTCAAGCTGTGGAGACCTCACGTCCCTCTTAGGCCTGACATGTACAGCATCAAGGACGAAAGACTTTAAAGGATTCTATCGCTGCCATGCTATACCTTGCATATCTACCCAGCCACGCCTGTCCTGCAAGGGTTGTAAGTAGACAATCAAACGTTGTCCTCCGCCGGCGTCGTCCACGCTGGCTCTTTCGCAAGACAGCGTCGAAGCCATGCAGCAACGAGTGAAACTAGGGAAACTACTGAAGGCGGTGCAAACCGCCGGCGTCGTCCACGCTGGCTCTTTCGCAAGACAGCGTCGAAGCCATGCAGCAACGAGCGAAACTAGGGAAACTACTGAAGGCGGTGCAAAGCCAAGAGCACGTAGTCGCGGCGTCTCCACGCTCTTAGAGCTGGTCGAGCCGCTAAAATGCGCCCCACAGCTTCCGCCGCGCTGCACCTTGTGTCCTGCATCAACCATGCGCAAAGGGCCGCAGGGCTGCGATTGATGCCGCCGAAGCAGTGGAAGAGCACGTTGAAGTCCTTGCCCTCCTTTCTGCAGGCTGTGCGTGCACTCGACAGAGCATCAGCCATGCCTTTCCAAGTTTGGGTGCAGTTCTGCGTGCATTCCAAGAACCAGTCCGGATGCTGGCTGTACCTGACCTGGTGGTCGTCCAGCTCGACTTGCAAGTGACGCACACCGCAATCGAGGAAGTGCTTGTTCCAATCTCTCGGAGTTCCTTTCACTTGCATCTCTGTTTTCCAACAAATGCTGACAACAACTGTAACAGGAACTTTCGTGTGCAACTCCACATTGTGGAGGTCCGCAGCCGAGCGCAAGCTGCCGAGCAGACACTTCTCGCCGGGCTCGGAGCTCACCACCACAGCGTCGAGAGGCCACTCCGAGATGTCCCCGAAGTTGTAGGACTCGCCCCAAACAATGTAGTCCATGTCCGACCAAGGTCCATGCTCGTATTTGTTTGCAATTTCGAGCTGCCAAGTTCGAATAAATGTTTCTTCCGCATCTGACATCGCCGACGAAGCAGAAGAAGCAGAAGACGAAGAAGCGGCCAGGGCATCCATATGTGCAAAGTAGCAAGCAGGCTCGAAGGAACTAGGTCTCTCGGGCCAAAGCTGTCAATACAAGCAAGCAGAGAGAACACTCCGGTCACGACAATTCGCTCCACGCGATCCCTCACTTCCTGCCATTCTCCAGGCTGATCATTTCCACGATCTCGTCCTCAGACGTTTCCGTGATTACCTTGATAATCTCGGTGATTTTACCACTGGATGATGCATGTGCTACAGTAATGGTCCAGGTGATTGGGTCTCGCGCGACAGCAGCTTTGGCCGCGAGCTAGACACACAGCCCGCTGGCGGAAGGCAGCTTTCGCAAGACAGCGTCGACTGCTCCGTGTGAGACGTTTGCAAAACCGTACCCTCGCTTGCTGCAGGTCCGTGACCTGCAGCACAAGGATTGAGAGGGTCGGCATATCCTTCTCACAAGACAAAAACTACACCTTGTCTCCAGTCACCTTGTCTCCTGTTTTCCAGGTCTCGCAAGACAGGCCAAAGGAGCCAGTACACTACATAAAGCACATCCGTGTTCACTTGAATCTGCGGGAAGTCGAAGTCCGGCTCGTTGGGTGGGAAAAGGTACTCGGGGTATCCTAAGGACATCCTCGCATCCAGATACTCACCAATGAGACGATTCACATTTCCAGGCAGGCCTTGCAACTCCAAACTATCAGCACCCGAGGTCCATAGCAGCGCCACAGTGATGGCCACGGGAGCCGACATCTAAACTGCTATCATCGCGCCGAGCTTGAGCCGGTTGTGCAGCTGAAGCAGGAATGTCAAGGTCGGTGTCGATTCGAATGTGCGTCGCAGGACACGCCCAGCTTTACATTCCGTTGCAAGGCTGCCTAGGATGCCGGAAGAGCCCCGGAAGAGCCCCTCCGCTGTCGGTTGGAAACCGACAGCGGAGGCCAGACACGCAATCCACTCGCGAAATGCAGCTTTCGCAAGACAGCGTCGACTGCTCCGCGTGGGGACTTTTTGCAAAACAATACTATCGTTGCTTCGAACAGGTCAGTGACCTGCAGAAACAAAGGGACCTCAAGGCGCACGGAAGCCGTGCAACGGCATTCCCGGCGCGAACTCCGGGTCCATAATTTCTTGGATCCTGCGCAGCAGCTGCACGATCCTTTCGTGTTCCCGAGACCAATCTTGCATGGTACGCATCAGCTCAGCTAACTGCACGTTCATTCGCGCTTGATCCAGCAGCATGTTGTTCAGCTGACCTTGAAATGTATGCACAAGGACCTCATAATTCACTGGAGTGGGGTACACGTTTGCATTCGCGCTGGTGTCCGATCCAACTCCATCCTCGCGAGAATCCTGTTGCGCTTGGTCCGGACCTTCCACCGTGGATGTAGTTGCATCTCCAGGATGGGGATCCATGGCGCCAAACAGACACGAAGAACGGAATCTAACTCAGCAGCTGCGTGGAAGAATGTAGCATGCGAGCAGGAGCAGCCAAGATTCGCCTTCGCTATCAATGAAGCTGCCTGAGCTCGCTCCTACCTGACAAGACGCCATGGAACAAACAGCATTTTTGTCGTGTCAAGGCCGAGAGAATCGCGCATCTAAGACTCAATCAGCGGCTTTAGAACATCACTGCTACGTGCAGAGGCTAGATACAGCCCACTGGCGGAATGCAGCTTTCGCAAGACAGCGTCGACTGCTCCGCGCGGGGACCGTCGCAAAACTGCACCCTCGCTTCGAGGAGGTTCAGTCAATGCAGCCCACTGGCGAAATGCAGCTTTCGCAAGACAGCGTCAACTGCTCCGCACGCGGACCCTTGCAAAACTCCACCCTCGCTTCGAGGAGTTTGAGTCAACGCAGCCCACTGACGGAAAGCAGCTTTCGCAAGACAGCGTCGACTGCTCCGCGCGGGGACCTTCGCAAGACTCTACCCTCGCTTCCAGGAGGTTCAGTTCATTTCCCAAGCGCTGCACTTCACTTTCGATGGCGTCTCCTGCACGAGGCTGCTGGCAGGTCGTTTGTTGCTTTGCAACGCCGGTCCGCCCTTGAGGAGGTTCCAGACCATCTCACGCTCCCTCGAGAATGTCTTGATCTGCTCAGGTGTCACTTTCGACATCCATTCCACCTGCAAAACCACCTCCTGGGTTGCAGCATTCTTGATCACACGGCCCAAGATCAAGCGCGGAAGGCCGTCTGCCATGTTGAAGAGGAAGCAATTTGTGAATTGACAAAAAGCCTCGATCCCGAATGCCTTTCTGTCTCCTACACGCTCGAGCGTGTGCGAGTACACCTCCTTGTGCTTCGTCAACAGGTGCTTCTCCTCGTCCTTGAACACCTCCTCCACGGTGGGCTCGTCCTCGGCAAAGGCCACAACGGTCACGTAGTTTGCGAAGACACCGCCTAACTTGAAGAAGGTGCCCATGTCTGAGCACATCAAATCGGCAATCGGACACTGGACTGGCAGCACAGCACCATCTCGCTTCTCGGTCGCAAGACGGGTGACCTTTTTCACCATCGGACGCCGGTCCTCGTCGTACTCCTCCCCGAAGCAGGCGCGAGCTGCCAAGACTTGAAACTGGGTCGGGGCAGCAAGTCCGCCGGTCACACTCGCCTGCGAAGCTTGCTGCGCGGAGCCCCCCCGCGGTTGGCCGAGGCGGTGCGACGTGCCCAGCCGTGCGTCGCACGGCCCCCTGAAGCAGACTGCCTCACTGCCTTTCAACTGGATCAACTCAACCAGCTTCTCTTCGTCACGGACCCGGGCCAGCGCCGCCAGCTCCGGTCCTCCCACAAGCACGTTGCTGAGCTGCCCCGTCCAGTCCGCCAAGTGCACGGTGGCCAGCACTCGCTGGGCATCCGCAGGCTCCGTCTGACATCCATCGGTGGCACGCTTGCACTTACCGGAAGTTGGGTCGATCTTCGTGGAACACACTTTGCACGGAGTATAGACTGGATCCCCAACGATGTCGACGAGCCAGACGTTGTGCAGGGCCACTTCGACTTTCTCCTGCGCCAAGCAAAGTCATGCAAGTTGGGGCACGGGAAAGCAGCTTCTACACAACAGAAACACGCGAAGGCAGTCCTGCGTTGATCCCTGCTCCATTGCGCTGCCGAATGCATTCATAGTTGCGGCGCATGCGACGTAGCAGGGCCCGAAGTCAGTGGTCAGCCTGCCGCCACCACTCAAGGAAGGGCACCAAGGAACAGAGATGCGATCGCCTTGCGTGGGTTCCAGATCCCGAAGCTCCCGTGCCCGATCGCCTATGGGGTCCACGTGCAGCATACTAAAGCCGTGCTTGTCGTTGTCGATGAAATGTTCCGCGGCGCCTTCGATGGAATCGTTCTCCTTCTTCAGCAGGGAAAGGTTGTCGATCTGAACGACGCTACCTTTGTGCGCGTTAGCCAGACTCTTTACGAAGCGGTCGCCCCAGATGTTCACCAGCATCTCCTTGCCCGACGTGTCCTTTAACCAGAGGTTGGCTTTGGGCTTGGAGGTATTCGGCATCTCGAGCTCCGTGACCAGTCCAATGACATCCACACGCTCGCGCCCTTGGCACTGTGTCGCCAACACCGAGAAGTCCGACCTTGCAAGGGGGAAGATGGTCTTGATCTCCATCGCCGACGGGTGGGAAGAAGCAACCGGAATCACTTTGGCCCTCGAGGCTCTGTCTGACAAATCCACATAGAGCCCAGCGAAGAATTTGTTATTACTGACCGGCTTGAGGTGCGTGGCATAGAAGACATCCTGGTTCCAGGGATCAGCCACCTTCTTCAGAGTGGAGGCGTCCGACGCGCGAAGCTCCGCGTACAGACCCTTGCCTTCCTTGTCGACGAAGCGCATAATCATTTTGCACCAGGAACCTCCTCTCGCATTGGGCATTTGCTTGATTTCACAGTAGACGTAGCGAAGCAAAACCTTCATGGAAGCGTGGTTTTGCTTAGTGAGGCGCTCCAAGGTGGTTTCAATCAAGTTGTTCTTCTGCGCCATCGGCAAGGCAGGCTAGCAGCACACTGAGCTTTCGCAAGACGGCGTTCACCCAGAGCACCAGCTGCACACTGAGCTTTCGCAAGACAGCGTCCACCCAGGACACCGCCGAAACACTAAGAGCAAAAGGCAATTTGAACCCAAGCTACGCAGCCAGGGGAGGCACTTCCAGCCTAAGAGGTAGAGACATGCACCAGCAAGCACCAGTTCGAGCTCACACGGTCTGTTTTTTCTTGCAAGACAGCATCCATTCGGATCCGTGAACATGGCAGTGCGAGCAGGAACAGCCAAGATTCGCCTTCGCTATCAATGAAGCTGCCTGAGCTCGCTCCTTCCTGACAAGACGCTATGGAACAAACAGCATTTTTGTCGCGTCAAGGCCGAGAGAATCGCGCATCTAAGACTCAATCAGCGGCTTTAGAACATCACTGCTACGTGCAGAGGCTAGATACAGCCCACTGGCGGAATGCAGCTTTCGCAAGACAGCGTCGACTGCTCCGCGCGGGGTCCGTCGCAAAACTGCACCCTCGCTTCGAGGAGCTTCAGTCAATGCAGCCCACTGGCGCAATGCAGCTTTCGCAAGACAGCGTCAACTGCTCCGCACGGGGACCCTTGCAAAACTCCACCCTCGCTTCGAGGAGTTTGAGTCAACGCAGCCCACTGGCGGAATGCAGTTTTCGCAAGACAGCGTCGACTGCTCCGCGCGGGGACCTTCGCAAGACTCTACCCTCGCTTCCAGGAGGTTCAGTTCATTTCCCAAGCGCTGCACTTCACGTTCGATGGCGTCTCCTGCACGAGGCTGCTGGCAGGTCGTTTGTTGCTTTGCA